TTCTAGGCATATCCTATCCCTCACAGTGACAGTTGTAATTTTTTACTGCTCAAATCAATTCTCAAGTGCCCAGATACTGAAGGCAGTATTGCATATGATGAAACCATAAACTATCAACTAGCATTCATTTGTATGCTTGTCTCCTATAGATTTTTGAAAACTTATATAACATAACAATCCCTTGCAACTTATAAAGAGAACATTGTCCCCTAATGCACACAATAATCAATCTTACAACACAATAATATTTGAAATTACTTTTACAGTTTTGAAATTACTTTTTTATCCTTCTATTATTATTTCTCGTGATGTAAACAGTTTGTTTGTAACATTTTGTGATTTGTCAAATATTCAACTTTCCTTCCATTTTTACAACAAAAGCTAGATTGTGAAATACTCAACTATATGACTATGTTAAACCCATTATTCTAAAATTATATTTCCATATATATATAATTGAATACCAATAGGATAATCCCGAATATATATATATTGCATTGGCAGATTAAAAGCATAAAAAACAAATGATTAGCCGAGTGTAATAAAAGCCTTATATAAACTGTGACTAAGGTGAATAGGACCCCAGGGTCTATTCAGCGTTTCCTACATGGAAATTGTTTTATCTAAACAGGCTAGGATGAAGAAATAATAATTCATTGAGCCCTTAAGTGATACTGTATTCCATTTGTTAATCCTGGATTGTATTGTGAATCCATAAGTAAAGTAGAAGAACCCTTCACGGCTTCTGGTTCCTCTCATAATGACATTTTAAGAGAGTGGGTTGAAAGTGGCACATTTTACAATGACTGACTTTGTCACTGGTGATCCCCTCGATTACGCTGGTTACCGAAATGGTTTGAAAAATCATACCTTCGATGTTCCGACATTTTGTTACCAAAATGAACCGTTTCGGTAACCAGCGTAATCGAGTGGATCACCAGTGACTTTTCTGATATGCTTTCCGTACATTTGATTTATCTTAACTAATATCATAAACAAATTGACAATTATCCCATTGCAAGCATTATATCCTCAAAGCAATATGTATCACAAATCATGCGTCATTGATCACATAAAAGTAAAGACTTCAAGGAAAGTGCATTCAGATGTTATAACATGCACGGTAAAAGCAATAATCAACTGCCACCTCCACTGGAGTGCCATGTTATTGAGAACAACAATATCACAAGTATCATTGAGGTGCTGGATCCCGGATAAAAGTGAGACAACAAAGTCATTAAAAAACACAACACTCTAACACATAACAATTAAGAACCATTAGTAACCTTCAAAAGAGAGTAATGAGATTTATACATGTACAGCAACCTAAACAACATTTGGTTTCGTACTAATTTAGTTAAGATTCAGAAAACATGGCTGAGCTTACCAAGGAAGCTCAAACGGAAAGCCAACAAGCGTAAAAGCATCAACCATAATCAGGAAAAACTATAATGGGATCAGTATTTCCAAATATTAATTGCAAAGGCCATCATTCTGTGTCACAGTAGATGTAAAACCCAAGCAAATAAAACAAGGCCAAGAAATCCACAGATCAGATAGCACTAAAAAGATGGTTTGAAAATGAGACCAAATGTGTGAACTTATCATGATATAATTTAATTTAAAGTACATACTGAGAAAGTGAGTGACTACAACAGCTTTATGCTGAAGAGTAATTTGTGCCAATGAGAGACTTAAAGTTCAAACAACCATTGACACTGATTTGATCTAATCAAATATATCTGTCAGTAATGAAGATCTCCATTGACAAATCAGTCAAGTAAGAATGATGAGAAGGAACATAAACTGAACAACTGCCTGAGAAGACAAACACTTAAGAATCCCTAATTAATAAACTGTAAAAGTAACATTCAACATCAGATATATGGAAATATATTTAAGTGCACTAAGCATATATGTCCCTGAAAATGTTTCTAAATGAGTAAGACTAAATAAGAAGATTGAAGATTGACCAATGAATAAAACCTGACTTGAATTGAGGAACTTGTTGTGTTGATTGTTTTAAAATAAGATGTAGAGATGAAACTATGGATTTAGCAAGGAATAAGCGAGGATCACTTCTGAACATTTGCTCAAGTGTATATAAAAACAGTATCTTGCGCCAATAAGATAATTTCAAATTGTCCAAACTTAATGTGAAAACTCCAAGTCCCTGCAGGATCCATCACCAGACTCTTATCTATCAGAATGCCTGACAGTTTGGCAGTAGTGGCCTATTGGGTGCTAGCAGGCATCATGGCTATAGGAGCCTTGGGAACAGTGATATGTCTTCTAGTGTCTGTATATTTCTGCTCCAATGGTTTTCAGCGACCCAAAAGATATGCCCATAAGTAAAACAACAAGTATGGTTATAGTTACAAATATATTGAAAGTTACAATCAATAAGGACTGTTCATAGAGATGTTACAAATATGTATGGAAATAACAAAGATACACTACAGGGAGGAATTGATGCTGAATGGCATACAAATATGATAAATAGGATGACATTCAAACATGGGTGATGGATAACCTGGGTGATATTGAAAATCAATAAAATGATTGAAATGATGGATAAAGGATGTATTAAAATGGAAGTGTGATATATCAACAGTTGCTTTCAAGTGGTTCTATTGCCCAGAGTACTTTTACATTCCCAGTCAAAGCATTCAAATTCATGAATCAACTCACGATAATTCTTTGGAAATGTATTTATTACTTTAATTGTTGCACCGCACCATCACAACAAAAGCACTGATACTACATCCACACCATATTTTCAATTTTCAATATGATAACACTACTGGCAATCCATGTTTTTCTATAATATATTGATAGAAGAAACATAAATGAAAAAGTAGATGGAAGAAAGAAGTCTTGGTTTTTTGATCTGACACCTGAGGACTATAAGAACATCTGTGGATACTGATTTACTCATTTTCAAAATATAAGTAGACAATATATTAAGGTAGATGCCAATAATTTCAGGTAAATGTTATAAATTGGAAATCGATGGTCTTTTACAAGATAAATTGTTTAAATGGATTGCATAGATTGCACAATTGAAACAAATCTGTATTACCCTTTGATCAAATCAATTCACCTTTGATCTAATCTTTATTCTCGTTTTAATCTAATCAAGATTATTACAATATTGTAACAATATAATTAAAGCCCTGCCAAATAGTTTAAAAGTAAGTAAAACCTGTACATCTTAATTTCTCTCAATGTGAACACTTTTCCTTAGTCCCAAATTGTTATCTGTCTATTGAGAAACTTTGATATGTGAACACCTGCTAATCAAAACACTTTTGACATGTTCCAATAGCATTCTGATAAGACACATATTACTTTATTTAAGAAATATAGACCTCAGAGCAGGGGTAATATTGTCGAATACACCTTGCAGGGCTAAGCGCAAATGTTTTCTGTACCCCGAACGACCGAAGGCTTTTGTGCCTTGTCCTAAGAGGTGTATTCGACAATATTACACCTGCTCTGAGGTCTATATTACAATTCGAACATGAAACTCCCCAAAATGATATTTCGAATATTCATTATGGTCCGCCATTACTACGGCCCGCCGTTATGACGTCACACATTACTCGTATATAAACTAGGGGTAGTATTCGCGAATATACCCCAGGTGAAATGTTGACTTTGTTCACAGTTTATAGAAGGCATGAATACAGTCATGTTCGAATTCATAATACACCCAATTAACCTACCCTAGAAGTAACCCTGCACCATTCAGATGGGATCCTCCGAGCAAAATTCAAATCAAGGCTATCAAACCTAGAACCAGACTAAAGTTATTCAACCATAGAGTTAAAATGACCTAAAATTATTGATCAGATATAACCTGTACGTCCAAACACATTGATTATCAGTATTCTTAAACAACATCAATTAAAACAATTTATTCCTAAGAATTGATATATGTTGCTCTAGGCCATTATGCTTTCTTCTAGTCAAATTTATTGTTTCTCTCAGAAGAAAGCAATCTTATTTGTCCTCCATTATGTCATAAATTGAGTTGCAAAAGGCCTCTGGCAATACATGGTATTTAATCATAAACAGAATACCAGTACAAGACTAGTGGCAACAGACCGACCTACACATCAATAGTGAAGCTCGTCAGAGTTAATAATGTAAATATGTAAACGAAAGTGCTCAAAAAGGATTCATATTAATGTAAAATAGAATGGCAAAGGTTGGAATAAGTAGGAAATTTAAATAAATTAATAGGAATCAAAGTGTAACACTGAAATAGTGAAATATGATAAGTATTAATCTCCTTTATACTATAAAAGGTGGGACAATTTGACATGATATGTTGGACTGTTAGGCTACATTTGCATCCTAGCAAAACCATGTTACGATTTTTGGCCTGATCCTAGAATCTAATTGATTGTTACACTTGTTTTAACTTTGCAAGAAGAGGGCAAATTCAAATTCTGAATTAGGGTAACCCTTGTAGCTATAAACTTGATTAATCAATCCATTGCACTGTCAGCCATAGTTTCAGCGCAATCATCATCACATACTGGATTTACAGGAGTAGTCAACCCAACTACATGTGCAAAGGCTGACATGTCATGCCACCTGAGTATGTCCATTAATGAAAAGATTGAAAAAGATTCATTCCCTGCAATTCTGAAAATCACATCCTTACCATGAAAGAAGCTAAATAGATTCCCCTTTCCAATATATTAAATGTCACAGTGAATCACAATCATAAATAAAAGAGAATGAACTAATAGACTTTGTAAAAATACCAGACTCTACCAACGTGATGATGTCTAAAAAAACAAGAGCTTGTTACCATTGGTAATACATGATGTACATCTCTTAGTTATCAATAAAGGTCTGTAACATTACTTAGATGTAATCATTGCTAATTAGGCTTTTTTCAAAAAGATACCTGACAATCATGTCTGTGGTAAATGTAACTAACATGTTGAAATAGGATAAGAACATCTTCTCATTTCTATTTTCAGGTGGATAGACACCGATAAATTGAAAAGTGAGCTTATAAAGGGGAAGAGGACACACAGCCAAGTCTCACAGCAGATTAAGAAGGCTCAGTACGTGACAAGGAGCCAGTGCTGAAAGGTAAGGCCACCCATTTGGAAAATGCAATGTCCAGGTTCAATTGCCAAATAGTGTAGATTGGTATGGGTTGACAAGGAACAGAGGGACAATTATACAGAATAAACATAATATTTTAGAAGATGGAGAAAATTAGACTTAGAAAGATTTCAGCATGGGTAATGCTGAAATTAATGGCCTTATTAGGCCTAATAAGCAGCTCATCTTCGTTTGCCCTTTAAAGATGCTAAATGAGCTCAATGCACTCGTTACAGGTTCAAATTTTAAAAACTCACCCAATAATAAATTGAAATATTGAAATGAAAATAGAGATAGATAGAGGAAGAACGTCCTTTTAAAATTATGGATATAATCATTGAGCAGAATGTTCATTCATCATGAAAAGCCAAGGTCAAACAAAGAGGCCAGGCCACTGATGCATGCAATAAGATCATGATGTTTAAATGGAGAGCTGTAAAGAATTGAGAAATCATTGTAATCTATGCTAATCATGCAGTCAACCTTGAATAAGGATAACGTAATAGACTAGATATTCAGAACTTCGAATTTTCCATATATTTCCTTTAGCGGTCAAGTCCCCAGGGCCAGTATAGAGTAAGAAAGCTAATTTCCTAATTAATCAATATGTCTACAATTGTCTACGCAACTCAAATTCAAGATTATCAGTAGCCTTCAGTAAAGTACAATTTTATGCCTGCTGCATCGAGATGTCATGGGAACCAAATGATTCCGGTTCAAATTATGAACTTGGTAAATAATTCTAATCGAAAAAATAATTCAGAAACATGTTGTTGTATCTATTAGAATTGATATTGAATTGTTCCCATTTATTTAAGGAAATGTGCACGTTTGAAATTTTTATGCAATCCTCATTGGAGTCACGTGTAATTTTGAGGAGAACAAAAATGTTTAAAATATGAGAAAATTCAGTGACCTACACAATATGTAGGTCACTGAATTTTCTCATTTTTTATTCGTCTTATAAAAATATTATTTTCAGCATTTATGTCTTTGTGCTGAAAGATCTAGACTGGACAGGGAATGACTTATGCAAAAAGGCTCTCAATTCTAAATTTTTACTAAAAAAAATGAGCAACATTTTTGGCATTATAATTTGAGGGAGGGGTGCTTATTGACTTTATGGGATTCTACTACCTCCCATAGAAAGTAATCGGTAAGGTTCATCAATGAATCGTGTAGACTTTCTGATATTGCTCTTATTATTATTCATTGATAGTAAACTCATTCCGCAAGATTCATTCTCTTGGCTATACTTTTCTTTGCTATACAGTAAGTACCTCTATGGTCACTATTGTATGAAAGAAGCCAGAAATTGACCATATAAATCAAATTGATGTAATGAAGATAAGAAGCTCACAAATTGATCATTTCCCAAACATCAAATGAAATCTAGACTGATGAGTAATTAAGAGTCAAAATCGGGTCAATGCCTCTCAACAATATAATAAAAATGCTGATTCTGCAATTTATGGCATCTGGTTGGCCATTGAAATAAATTTTATGACATGTTCTTTCGGAGTTATGGCATTGGAGTGTGCTATAAACGACGTGTATAATTGCAGTTCATGGTATTAATTAGGAGATAATGTGATTAATATTTCATTATCAGGAGTGTGGAAGAAGTTCTTTTGGCAATCCGTTCAATGATCAGGGTGTACCGAACATAGTATTTATACTTGAGAAATAAATAATAACAAGACTAACATTTGAGAGATCAATATTTTTCATAAACAACAAAGAGTCAAAAAATGAAAACAAATTGTGCAATATTTGTTAACTAGAGCAAAACAATTGATTTATTTAGCTTTTATTTACAAAAAGATAGCCAACATAGTACTTAGATTGTAATTTAGATGTCTGGTCTTGTATTTGTATTTTTTTCATGTCATATGCATATATAAAATAATAACATAAATAAACCTTCTACCTCATGCCTAACAAAAATTCATTAAACTCAAAAGCTTAGATAGAGACTCCAAAGTAATGGACAGTGCAGTATAATGTAATAATGTAATGATACAAGATGTCAATAAAAGTTATACAAGAAAAAGATACAGCATTTTTATCAGAACTTCTGGATCGGCCTTTATATTGGAGAAACTGGTCAATACTTAACAGAGGAAATGTTTTCTTTTAAGTTCTACAATAATAGTTTAAGGTCATTAAAATGCTTGAAGTTATAAAAGGAATTGTGTTTTTATGTGTTTTTTCATTCTAAATGTAGAACAATCCAATATTCAATATTGTGAGCATGATCTTCTATTTTCTAGTTTGTATAACTGGTGTGCATAACCAGTTGCCATGATCAGCTACCTTATTTGGAGTATGTAGGCATTCCTTATCACGTTTTGGCATATCAGAAACCAGTAGAGCCACATTATACTTTACAGCATATCATGGTTAATAAGAACTGTAATAAGAGAGTATATTAACATTGTATGAACATTTTTTAAAAAATCATATTCTCAATAATTAGCCAAGTATGTACTTATGAAGGTTTTTTGTTGGAATTCAACTATCACCACCTTGGAAGGCATGTTCTTGGGGTATTAGTACTGGTTTAGAAGACCTGAGCGATAGTGACAGTCCATAGAGATGACAAGGTATTAACATGACAAAATGTCACCACCTAGTTGCTCATAATATTATTAGTTCAATTTGAAAGTCAGATTTGAACTTCTGATAACTTGTAGATGATTTTGAAAAAAAAATCAGACAATTTGAAGCATGTTTGACCTTTTTTGACATTGACATACTATTCCACATGAATCTACTTGTTGAGCCTTGATCAACTTGAGTTCTACTTGAGGATTTCGTATCTATACCCACGATGATATGATGATATCCCCATGTTAAGTCAATGGTGTATAAACTCCACATGATAAGTCAATACTCCCTTGCTGAAATCCTCATTATCTCAGAAAAACTCAAATTGATTGGCTCTCAACAAGTGAAATATTGAAAGGGAGTATTAGTACAATGGATTCCAAGTAGTAAGAAATGGTTTCTTAAACAGAACATCGGGATTGATTTTTAGAATTTTTTGTTGTCCCTAATAGTTGTCATTATCGCGTTAGTTCTCAGTAGGTGGCGATAATTGTAATAACCTCTTTTCAGCGGGCATTCACTATGTTGCCCTTTGAAATTACGTAGGTTACTGAGATATTCTTTTTAAATATATTGTTCAGAATGTTCTAAATGAATCATGGATGATTCAATACACCAAATATTTGTATGCTAACCTTAAACCTTGACCTATACTACAAGTCTAAGGACTGCAAGGTAAAAACAAAAATTAGAGCTAGGCTTAAATCCTTAATTTTATAATGTTACTGTAAGTGATTTCTCATTCTGGTTTGGTTTGTTTGATGCTGTTTTTCATTATAATGAAAAACCTTCTTTGCGTATAACCTTTTTTCAAGTTATAAATGTCAACTTGTCAAACCTTGAACTTTATGTCATAAAATATGTCAAATTATCCATTAATCAGATGTTTTGATATCAAGAGAAACAGATCTAAGCTTAATTATATAATAATAAATACATGCAATCGTTATTTTCTTTGGTATGGTTCTGAAAGCATAATATAGTGAGTTATGCACAGGGTTTTACCTAATAATATCATTTGGTATTTCAAATCGATTAATACAATAACTGAAGACATGATTTTCCAGGAAATATTTTTATACCTTAAGTACATCGCTGCCTTGATATCCAAATTTAATCAAATAAAGAAATAGATTTTTACTTGAACAAACAAGGTGTAATATTTTATCAAAAGATTACCTATACTATGCAGATAAAAACAAGACATGTCTTGATTCGATGAACTAGATCACGCCACTAAGTGTGACATAATTACTAAACAATGAAAATCAAAAACATCTTATATAGCTGTGAGAATTCACATGTGGTATAGCATGTGGTTTTGGACAGTTCTGTATGTGTTATTATGAACGAAGATATGAAATTTTGTTAACCAATGTGAAGCTAGAAATAATGGATTTAATCTTATATTTTCCGCGGCATGTGGAAGAAAAAAAACTTTTTATAAAAAATTATGGTCAAAAAATATTTGTGGTCCTTTGTCTAAAATTACTGGCCATACTATACATGGTTCTTTAAATTATTGTCTCTTAAAAGATGGTCCCCAATAATTATTCAGCACCAGATCTTTGTACTATTGCTCACATAAATACTATTTTGAAGTATATCAAAGAGCAGATTTGCGCTGACAGGTTTTTATCAAAAACGACCAAAATGGGTCCCAAAGGTTAATCAGCACTAAAATTCAATATAAAACAACATCCGGTTGCTATGGTTCATTTGCTTAATCTTTTTATTAGATTTCCAAAGATGCCTATCATGTTTTCTATTAACTATCCCCAGCTGGTTATACTTATGGCATAAATAATTTGCAAGAGCATTTAATACTGTATCTAGGTACAAAAAAGTTACATAAATGCATAGATTTAGATTCTCATATAACATAATTGCGTCCATATTGATCACAATCACTTTACATATAATTTTATTTTTTCTAGTTCCCATATTGATTTAGATAAACAGTTGTCCCACAGAAGGTATGGCATTTCATTCTGTAACTGTCAATTATGATCATGATCTCCATGGATTTTCAACTCTAGTTATTTCCCCATTAAGAAAATGTGACTGCAATTGCAGATCCCAATAAAAAGAATTGAAAGGTATGGAACTATCTTATGCCTTTCTAGTTAGCCAACATTAAGTTTATTCCAAATATATAAATATACCACAAATCCATGACACTTCATTTGTACCATTGGTATTTTAGGGAAAAGAGGAGAGAAATAAACATGATTTGAATGACACATTAATCCAGGTTTGCATAACAAACATATATTTGTTGCTGTTATCATCACTGGATAGCCTGGCAATAGCTACCGTGAATCAAAGCAATAGAGCTATACAATGGGAACAGAAACAAAGCAAAAGAATAGGTC